CCCTCTCTATCATTTTATTTCCGTTTTGACATCGTATTTATCTTGATTTCTTATATATTCTCTTGATTTCCTCTCTAGCCAACTTACTTTCCTATTTATTGTCTTGCTTTCTTCATCCTCTCGCTTTGCTATCTATCCTCTCGATTTCCTGTCCTCTTGTTTACCTCTATCCTCTTGCTTTCATATTTAGCATCTTTCCTCTCTGTCTCACTGATTTAATCTGTCTTCTTCATTTCCTCTCTGTCCTCTTACAAATACAAATTTTTATTTCTTTACAAAGGTTACAATGTGGGATTTACATTTTTACAAAAAATGTAAAGTACAAAGAAACCCACTAAGATGGTTGATCATTCCTCTCTCTTCTCTTGATGTTCTCTTAGACTCTTGCCTTCGTTCACAGTGCCAGAAATTGGCCATGGTAATAGCCACAAGATCTGTGGCATTACCTTGGTGTGTGTGTTGTGTGTGTGTGTGTGTGTGTGTGTGGTGTGTGTGTGTGTGTGTGTGTGTGTGTGTGTGTGTGTGCGTGTGCGTTTCTTGGCCTGGTGGGGCTCTTGTACCAACTCTTTAAGCTGTGTATGGAGATAACAATCACTTTGCCCAACATTATTATTATTATTGGCAGTCGTACTAGGGGTAGGAGGAGGGGAGCCCCTCCCCCCAAGCACCCCTTTACTTCCCCTCAGTGAGGGGAAAGGGGAAAAAACAACCTTCTTCCTTAACTCCTTCGAGAGGATCCAGTGAAGGAGGGGGGGACCCGATCTCCCCTTCTTTTATCCCCCTTCCCCCAGAGGAGTCAGTGAGGGGGGAGGGATCACCTTCACTCCCCTTCCCCAGGGATAGCCTCCCCTGCACGAGGGGTGTGGCTGGTTACTTTATCAAGAACATAAACTTGGCGTGATTGTGGTGAGAAGCAGAGAGAACGTCTTGAAGTGAGTGTCATACTCTTGATGTTACCGCCCCCCCCCTCTCTCTCTCTCTCCTCAACCTGGCCTCCCATACCCCAGCCTAGGCTCTCCTACTTCAGCCTGGGCTCTCCTACTCCAGCCTGGGCTCTCCTACCCCTGCCTGGGGTCTTCCCTTATCTGGGGTCTTCCCAAGGATCAACTCTCCCCCTGATTCTACATTTGTTGGGACGGGAGTATAAGTTAATGTGTACATCACCTGTAGCTGTTTCTGGGGGGTTAGCGCCCCCGAGGCCCGGTCCCAGACTAGGCCTCTCATTGCTAGCCTGATGGATTAGACTGTTGGTACACTACAACCCGGCTGATAAGAAAATGACTTGGTGAACATCGAGTTTCCTCTGAAGACAGCCAGGGATTTGTTGGTAATTCCCTTTATGCCCCGTAGGACGACGTTGAAGAGTCTTGGTCCCCTACAATTAACTGAGTTGTCTCTCAGTGTAGTCATAGCTCCCATGCTTTTCCTACGCAGTCTATTATCGTATGTAGTGATCTCGGCATCCAGATTTGGGACCAATCCTTCAAGAATCTTTCATATGTACTGTATCATGTATCTTTCTCGCCTTCGTTCTAAGGAGTACAGTTCGAGGGACTTCAAGCACTTCCAGTTAAATAATTTAAATATTTGGCTGATGTTGTGTGAGATGTGAATGTTCTCTGTATATTCTTCAGGTCTGCAGTTTCGCCTGCCTTGATGGAAGCCGTTAGTACACAGCAGTATTCCAGCCACGATCGGGTGACTAAAAATTATCGTCACTGGCGCGGCATCTCTTGTTTAGAAAGTTCTAGTTATCCTGTCATTTTCCTTGCGATTGCGATAACAACACTGTTGTGGCCCTTAAATGTGAGAGCCTCTGGCATTATTACTCCCAAGATTCCCACATTAATTTCCGCTCTAGCGAGTGATGCGAGTGTCTCTTGAAATTTGAAACACATGCAAGTGCAAACTCTCAGCGTACATACACTGAAAGAAGCACACCTCTCGGTGTTACCTAGCAGGTGTTGGTTGTCTAGATGGTGGTATTTGTCATGGTAGCAGCTGTGCTGGTGGTGGCTGTAATGGTAGAAGTTGTGATGGTAGTCTGTGATGGTGGTAGATGTAACGGCAGTAGTTGTACTGCGAGTCTGTGTGATGGTGGTAGTTGTGTTCGCAGTGGTAAAAGAAAAAAGTTATGGTGGTACTGATGGCGAGAGTTCGAAGCAGTCAGTGATGGTGGGTAGAAGGGATGGATAGAGCTAGATAGTGATGGTGTCTGCCGTTGGCTGCGGTGATGGGGACTTAAGGTGATGGGTGACGCATACTTAGCGTGGACACCGACAACAGCGGAAACCACTCAAGTGAAGGCAAGCGTCTTAATGGCAGACATTAACTTAGTTAACTTAGGTGAAGCGGCCGAGGTTCCTGTGTAGCAGTGATAAGTGGTGGCCCAGGAGACCAGCACTACTAGTGGAACTCACAGCACAGCAGACGGAACCTAATGTACAAAAATAGAACCCAACACAACGGACAGAACTAAAAAAAAGAACTCAGCAAAGGAACCAAGAACCTAACAAAGGAGCCAACAAAGGACAAAACCAAGAACGCAACAAAGAATAAAACAGAGGCAACAAAGGAGCCAAGAGCCCAACAAAGGAGCCCCACACTGTCTGGGATATAAAAGTTTCTAAACAAGAAAAAGTGAGGTGATCAAAGTTTCTCTCTCAAGACTGTTAAACCAGAGCAACTGTGACCTGGAGAGAGAGAGAGTTGGGGGGGGGGGTTCTACACACATTCTAGACTAGGGTAAGACGTGTCTAGTTTCAGAAATAAGTAGGAAACAAACTCTTTTCATATCTTGCAGATGCTTCCTCTCTTTCGGCTCCTGCTGTGTCCTAGCCAGCCGTCCGTCCGTTCGTTCTTCCGTCCGTGTGGCTACCTAATATTTATTTAGGCTCTTTTCTTGTGGTTTGACAGACTATCGTACAGTTACACAGTGATTTTAACGAACCTTCACCTCCTCTCCCACCCTTCCTTCTCAGCTCCTCTTTTCCATCGTCTTCCATCTCCATCCACCACCTTTCTCTCCCCTCCCCACATCCTCTTCCGTCTGATGCTACTCTCCTCTTGAAACTATTTTCTTGTTCCCTGATAACTCGTTCTTTCTTGCCCCAAAAGCATTTTCCACTTAGCATTTATCATCAGGAGGTCAGACTGTTGTTGTCCCTAAGAGCTGGCAAGCGCTGTCACCAGCACCAGGGATGGTGGTAGTAATGGTGCTGAGGGGAGATAGTGCTGTTCTTGTTGTCGTCGTTGTTTCTGGTGATGATAGTGGTGGGGTTGTTGCTTTTGCTGTTGGTGGTAGTAGTGGCGGGGTGGTGGTGGTTGTTGGTAGCAGAAGTAATAGCTTATGTGGTGGTGGTGCAGGTTGTAGTTGTGGAGGTGGTGGTAGTGCTGGTGGTAGAGATGGTGGCAGTGCATGTGGTGATGTAAATGAAGGAGGTTTACTTAGAGTCGCTTAGGCAAGTCGTGGTTGCTGGCCTGATCGATGAAGCTATTTGTGCCAGCCGCTCGCAGTCCAACGTATGCACCATAATCCGGCTGATCAAGAATTAATTTGAAGAACTTGTCGCGTTCCCTGTTGTACACAGCTAAGTGTTTATTGGTAATCCCCTATGTATGAAGGGAGGGCGTTGAAGAGTGGTTCCTTAACACTTACTGAGTTCCCTCTGTGAACTCATCGCTCCACTGCTTTTCAGTTCGTATGTAGTAGCTTCAGTGTGCAGATTTGTGATCAATCTCTACCTTCTAAGGAGTACAATTCGAGGGACTTCAAACGCTCCTGGTAATTTAGGTGCTTGACTGTTTTTATAAGAGCTGTGAAAGTTCTCTGTGCATTTTTCAGCTGTGCAGTTTCTCCTGCCTTGAAGGAGGCTGTTAGAAGACAGCAATACTCCAGCCTAGAGAAAACAAGTGACCTGAAGAGTGTCATCACTGGCTTGGCATTTCTTGTTTTGAAGGTTCTAGCTATTCAGTCTATCATTTTCCTTGCGCATCAGTAATGACATTGTGCTCCTTGAACGTGAGATCTGACATTATTGCTCGCAGTTCTCCCGAATTACACTTGTGCTCTATTGATTAATTTGAGTTTGTCTTGTACTCCGATCTTGTTTTTATTTTATCGTAGTAACTGAAATCTGTCCTCATTGAATGTCATATTGTTACTCGCCCAGTTGAAGACTGGGCGGTGGTAGTACGGAGGTGAAAGAGATGGTTAAGGTAGTTGTAGTGGTGCAGATAGTGGTGATAGTAGTGTAGGTGAAGGTAATGGTGGTGGTGATGTAGGTGTTATTAGCGGTAGTGGTGCAGGCGATGGTTGGTGGTAGAAGTGATGGTACAGGTGGTGGTAGTAGTGGTGGTGGGGAGACGCAGTGGTAACATCAGTATTCAGAGTGGTGTTTGAGGGCGGTCTCAGACATGGTGTGCCTCGCGGACGGGATTATTGCAATTTGGAGTGATAGTCTGGTCGGGTACATATGGGGTTACCCACTGAATGGCTGATGAGGAGCCCCTGCCCACGGGGCTGCCTCTTGGACCACAAGATTGGCCTCTTGAGGCCATCTTGGGCATCAGCTCGTTGCCCGAGAGGCACTGCCAAATTGCCTTGTTCGTTTACGGAAGGGCTCCATACATGTACTGATTTCCTACTATTTAAGACCATATTAAGACACTACCACCTCACAAATAATTAAAACTTTTTTTTTTGAAAGGGGTGGACTGGTAAGCCAGCAGAAAGCCTCGGTCTAAGTGACCAAACGCTCCAGTGGCGGGTCATCGTATGACTAGGATCCGTGTCAGGAAGCACCTAACCTGTTTCCTGACAAATCTTAACAAACCTACCTCACAAGTTGGAAATGAAAGCTGGATGAAGTTTTGGACTTAATATGGTCCATGTGGATCGAAAGATTTTCTAGTTTCCATTCCCAATTTGTGGTTTAGCTGTGAAATGCTCCAGCCACTTTACTGTGATTCACCATTTACAAGACTGTCTCTCTTTGCAGCAACGTGACAGTTACATTCGGTCAGTGAAGCTGTTGCCTGATGGGCGGACGCTGCTGGTGGGCGGAGAAGCTTCCACACTCAGCATCTGGGACCTGGCCACGCCCACGCCCAGAATAAAGGCAGAACTCACCTCGGCAGCACCAGCATGCTACGCCTTGGCCATCAGTCCGGACTCCAAGGTGTGCTTCAGTTGTTGTAGCGACGGCAACATTGCTGTGTGGGACTTACACAACCAAACTCTAGTGAGACAGTTCCAGGGACACACAGACGGCGCCTCATGCATCGACATCTCTCCTGACGGAACCAAGTTGTGGACTGGAGGTCTGGACAACACCGTCAGGTCGTGGGACCTGAGAGAGGGTCGTCAGCTACAGCAGCACGACTTTACCAGTCAGATTTTCTCTCTTGGCTACTGTCCCACCGGAGAGTGGCTTGCTGTTGGTATGGAGAGCTCCAACGTGGAAGTCTTACACGTCAATAAACCAGACAAGTATCAGCTCCACCTTCACGAATCCTGTGTTCTGTCCCTCAAATTCGCCTCTGCTGGGAAGTGGTTCGTGTCGACTGGCAAGGACAACTTGCTCAATGCCTGGCGTACACCCTATGGTGCCTCCATTTTCCAGGTATGTGCTCTGCATCAATATTATCTACATTATGCATGGAGTTCATGTCAGTTCCAGCCATTCCACAGTATTTCACTCATTGTGGGGAGACGATGAAACGTTAAATACTACGTAGACCGTTTCGCATTTTAGATTCACTATGCTTACATACTCCTATTACCTTGCGTTACAGGAAACACCAGTTAGCAGTTCCTATTGTTTCTCGCGCTCTTCCTTTCCCAGGTTCCTAAGAATAAACATTTATTGGTAATGTTTCGCTCGGTGAAGACTCAGATCTGATCCTTGACGCTCTTCACTGAGTGAAACTATCTTCAGTGTTACCTTCAGTGCACTTGTCATGTACTACATTTTTTTTTCAGTAGTTAAATATTCTGGCGGCGTAGAAGTGAAAACACACTGACAAAAATAAAATTTCTTCTTCCTCAGTCGAAGGAGTCCTCGTCGGTGCTGAGCTGTGACATCTCTGCCGACGACAAGTACATCGTGACGGGTTCGGGCGACAAGAAGGCCACCGTCTACGAGGTAATCTACTAGAACACCCAAGATCTCCAGAATTTGGGTTCCGAGACGAGCATCCCAAACTCAAAGTCAACCTCATCAATTTTATGAGACGCCCTTGAGCTGGCGTTCCAGTGAACGCCTCCTGGAGGGTCCTTGGCCAACCTGTCATCTTTCAATGCTTTAATTAGATTTTCTGTCCTGCTAAGTCATCGCCGAAGATCCATCAGCTGACAAGTGATATTAGCAATGTGGTCTTTTACAGTTTCACTGTTTAAATGCACTTGTACTTGGCCAAAATAACATGATTTAAAATGTTATAAAATACTTATAAGGATTTCTCCATGGACCTCAGTGAGAAATCCAAGATTTCAATGTCGTGACTCTTGCTCACCAGAGGTCAGCGCCATGAGGCAGCGATCACCAAACTATCCAAGTTAGTTAATGTCCACACGTGACCCTTACCAGGTCACCATCTTCACTCTTCTCGTGGTAACGCTCCACCATCCAATGCTTTGAAGATTTCCAAAACTCGCAGAAAGCTTCTCGTGGGTCGTGGGTGGCCCGAACGAACCATTTAATTCCTCGGAAAATACCAAGATTAAGGCGACCTGACGTGACCTCTACACCTTTGATCTCTCCCGATACAACAGACAGCATCTGCAACGAAGACGCCTGAAACAGGCTTTCCTGCCATCTAGTGGAACTGCGTTAAGACATGGTAAATATGTACATAAATAAGATTACCCACGCGCATCCTGTGAAATGTCCTCCTCACCTAGTTGTCAAGAGCATCTGGTTACGAAGTACTGATCTTGCCACCCTTCAAGAATGGCAAGTGGAAGGACAACTCGAATGTGGAGATGGAGAGAGATGTATAGTGCTGCATATGGGTTTGTTAATGTGTGCAGCCTCGGCACCAGGAGTGGACTACTTGTCGTATGGACGGAGAGTGAGGAGCAGCAAGGAGCACGACGCTGAGAGGAATGTCAAGCAGGCGGCAAGACCCAGTATAGAAAGTTTTTGAAGTGGTGCAATGTGTGCGCTGAGAAATGCTGCAGTCAAGTGGGAGTGACAGGATAATGGGACACAGCATTACAGTTGAGCAGTGTTGCTTAATCTACAAATTGGGACAAATTAACGGTTGTGTCAGACATGCAACTCTGAGCAATAGGTGCTTGAAGACTTTGTAGAATTTTTGTGCACCTTTTCTGGACAGTCTTTCACAAGTAAAGATGGTGGAGGTAGGGGTGATAAAAACGCATAAAATGAATACAAGAATCACTAGCTAGTGCTGGCGTAGCAGCAGTGAAAATGGACTGCATAGTTCGGACAGTATGTCTGTAGTACAGCCGTGCTGCTAATCCCGGGTTGGACATGGTAAATAGTGCTATTCTGACGCCACACGTACAAGTCTCCCTAACAAACATAACTGGCAGGGAAAGACTGTGGAAGTGAACTGACATCAAAAGGTGGAATACACAGCTGGAATTAATGGGTGTGAAATATTTACTACTGACAAGCATCTGATGTACTGGAAGGTGATGCTCGCTGTTTGTCGGGCGTAACAATGATAGGACGTGGCTAGTGCTTTTTTTTTTTTGTATCATGGACGATATTCCTGACAGTCCTTACCAGGCGAATGGAACCTTATCTGGGACGAGTGTTTAAAATGTAGAATAGAAGGTGAGACCATGTCTGATATTTGTATTTCTTTATTCTAGCCTAGAACCAAACAAATTATACGGATTTCATCATGCCTGGTACATTACTTGTAGTGCTTTATGCGTTATAAGTCGACTAGTTCATGTGTCAAGAGAGAATTGAATAAAAGGTTCTTTTTTTATTTTATTTATAAATTTTGATAAAAGAAATATATGTGGGAATGTGACGCGTTGGTGTAGGTTTAATATAATAAAAGGATCGTTGACGATTGTTTTGTTGCGACTGTGATAAAGTTTATAAAGTAATAACTCAGGCGTAGTATTGACGTGGAGCACTAGTCTGACGGTGGGGACGAGGGAGGTGGTTGGTGGTGGTGATGGTGGTAGTGGCAGGCTGAACCTCTACTCCCGTCCTGGCAAAGACCACCCTCCTGGAGAGCGCTTGGCTCTTCATGGAGAGCGCTCGGCTCTTTTAAGGAGAGCGCTTGGCTCTTCAAGAAGAGCGCCTAGCCCCGCCTCCCGCTCCCACCAGCATACTGAAGTTTCGAAGTGACTCTTAACGCTGTGAGAAATGAGAGAGAGAGAGAGAGAGAGCCATGGCCAGCCTGCGAGATCACTCCACTGGCTCTGTATAAAGATTTCACTGCTCTCCATTTTCAGGTTACTCATTTATTCATTCATTCACACATTTGGTATGCAGTTCATCAGGGAGAAAATGTTACAGTGTGTAGATTATAATGAAAAACGTGTAAGAGTGGACCAGTCTTAAAACTGGTTCAGTGGAGTAATCTTGCAGGAAGGCACCATGTAGCTGGCTCCACTCAATCACTCACTCCACCTCAACAAAGAAACAATTACCTTAGAACTCTGCAACATTTACTGAATGTTGGATACCACGGTACCTGCGCTGGTAGTTTTCCTACCTCGAAAACACGGTCGCAAGAAACAAATTGTAAAATTAATTTTATATTTCTTGCCCAGCACGCGCACATGCACATGCACACACACACACACACACACACACACACACACACACACACACACACACACACACACAACACACACACACACACACACATTCTCTGTAAATATTTGCAGAACAATCCTTCGCTGTGTTCAGATATGATTATCCTCTTCAGTAAATGTTGCAGAAATCAAAATAAAAGAATAGAAAGCATGAGAACCAAGCAGCAGCAGGCCCCAAGCCTCGCTTCCTTCTTTCCTTCAGTCCCCTGGAAAATAATATCTGCCACTAGTCTACTACTGTTATTGGCAAGCGTGCACACACACACACACACACACACACACACACACACACACACACACACACACACACACACACACACACCACTCTCGCTGATTACATACACGCATCTCTCAACACATTCACGGTGTAAATAATTCCTCAGACACACGTCAAAAGTGTGAGGGAGGGTGTCAGCTGGCTGGATCAGACCTGGAGCTGGCTGAGTCAGACCTGGAGCTGGCTGGGTCAACCTGGAGCTGGCTGGGTCAGACCTGGAGCTGGATGGGTCAGACCTGGAGCTGGCTGGGTCAGACCTGGAGCTGGCTGGGTCAGACCTGGGGCTGGCTGGGTCAACCTGGAGCTGGCTGGGTCAGACCTGGTGCTGACTGGGTCAGATCTGTAGTCAGCTCTGCATTCTTTTCTCAATCGCGGCTCTGTGTCTTGGTATATCTTCTATTTATAATAAAAACCACATACTTATCATTCTCCAGTAATTCCAACTCTGAAGGCAGATGCATCAAGCATAAGGAAAGCAGTAGCTGTGACAACGTGTAAAACTACTGGTGCAGAGACTACGTGAATGTCAGCCATAAAAGTCACCCAGAAACTCTGTTTATGTTTCTCAGATATTCTATCTACACGCAAAGTTGATTTATGCAGTTCACCAGTAAGAAAGAGTCTCCTGTCTGGTAGGGATATTACCCTATTTTTTGGATGTTTAATACATACAAATGGGAAATACGCACTGTAGAAGGCGTCTTGCGAGTGTGGCACTTCCCTACGTTTGTTGACGTGGTTGTGGGGAGCACACACCTCTTATGATACCTCCCTACGTCTGGTAATGTGGTATGGGGAACACACACACTAGGTGAATGTGGTATCTTACTGCGTGTAGTTACGTGTTTGTGAGGAGGAACACACCTGGTGAGTGTGCTACCTGGCTACGTTTGGTGAGTGTAGTACCTTCCTACGTCTAGTACGTAGTGTTGGGCAGCAAACACACACCGGGCGATTGGGGTACCGTCCTACGTCAAATAACGTAAAGTGTTGGGTAGCAAACACACAAATCACACCCAACTGTGACCACAATAGCTAGAAGACAAGATACCCAGCAGGAGACGGGAAGCGGGGGATGAGGAGGGTGAGGAAGTGTTGGTGGAGATCTGGGGATGAGGAGATGGGGGTGGTGGGTGTGGCAGGTCCGGCACCAGCTGCCACTACTGACCGGTGCCACCAGACGGTGATGGTCTCAAGACGGGTGACTCAAAAGCCAGACAACACCCTGGTCAGTTACTCAAGGAACTAACACACTGCCGCAGGTGACACCACTCCTGCTGGAGTGCCGCAGGTGACACCACTCTTGCTGGAGTGCCGCAGGTCCCTGGCGCTTTTAGCGGTGCCACAAAAAGAACAACAACTGGTGACAAAGCTGTACATCGCCGCTACGCAGAATGTAATAAAAAAAAGCAGGTTCGTGTAGGGACAAAAAAAAAGTTATTCATTCTTATTCAGTGTGTGCCATTATTTAGAATTTCAATAAATTTTATGTGCAATACACAACACAGTTTTATTACTCCGCATGTGCAGATTGTGGTTTACATGTACTTTACCTGTGAATTACATTTGGTTTAAATGTGATTTACATGTAGTTTGCCTGTGTTTTACTGTGAATTGTGACATCCGTGTTGATAAGAGATCTCTCTCTCTCTTGAGAACTCATAAAACAACAACGATTATCTCAATTTTCTTATAATAATAATATCTTTAGTTCTACAAGTACATGTACAAGGTATACAGGTCTAGCTGACAACAATGACATACTACTATATAGAAAACCGCTTGTTATGCTGAGCATTTCGGGCAAATTAGGTCAGGTTTGTCTGGGGATCCGACCAACACCAGTCGACTAAGACAAAGGCCCCTCAAGGAAGGTTCCTTGACGCTGGTGAGGGGCTCTTCATCTAGGGAATTGGATCTGTGCTCCAGTTCCCCGAATTAAACCTGAATACCTTCTACATCCCCCCACAGGCGTTGTATAATCCTACGGATTTAGCGCTTCCCCCTTGACTATACTGATGGGTGAACATGGACAACCGGTGTAAGGAAACACGCTCAGTGTTTCAACCCTCACCGGGAATCGAATCCAGACCCTCACCGTGTGAAGCGAGAGCATTTGCCACCAGGCCCTGGGCCACCGTCGGTAATATATAGTATAACAATCTTACAGAATCCAATTATTTATATATTTATATGTGACACAGCTGGAATGACTGTAACACCCCGTGTCCTGGTAATTTTCAAGTACCAGCTAGCACCTCTCTCTCTCCTCTCTCTCTCTCTCTCTCTGTCCTCTCTCTCTTCCTCTCTCTCTCATCTCTCTCTACATCTCTATCACCTTCTCATTCTCCCTCTCCCTCTCCACTCTCCCTCTCCCTCCTCTCCCTCTCTTCCCCTCTCTCTCCCTCTCTCTCTCCCTCTCTCTCATTCCCTCACTCTCTCATTCCCTCTCACTCTCTCATTCCCTCTCACTCTCTCATTCCCTCTCACTCTCTCATTCCCTCTCACTCTCTCATTCCCTCTCATCTCTCTCATTCCCTTCCTCCCTCTCCTCTCTCATTCCCTCTCCTCTCTCATTCCCTCTCACTCTCTCATTCCCTCCTCATCCTCTCCTCATTCCCTCTCACTCTCTCATTCCTCTCACTCCTCTCATTCCCTCTCTCTCATTCCCTCTCTCCTCTCTCATTCCCTCTCACTCTCTCATTCCCTCTCACTCTCTCATTCCCTCTCACTCTCTCATTCCCTCTCCCCCTCATCCCCTCCTCTCCCTTCCCCCTCCCTCTCATTCCCTCTCACTCTCTCTTTCCCCTTCCCCCCCCTCCCTCTCTCCCCTCCCCTCCTCCCTCTCCCTCCCCCTCCTCTCCCTCCCCCTCCCCCCCCCCCCTCCCTCCCCCTCCCTCTTCTCTCATAAATGGCGCTTAATAGTGAAAACATGAATTTCGTAGATTATTAAAGAGAGAGAATCGAAGACTATTAAAGAGATAATGGTAAACTATTAAACAAAGATATTGGAAGACTATTAAAGACAGAGATAATGGAAAGATAAAGATAATGAAAGACTATTAAAGAGATAATGAAAGACAGTATTACAGAGACAGAATTAAGGAAATATAAAGTAACAATAAAAGAAGAGTAAATAATGTGAGACCTCCTGATCCATGGAACTGGATCAACCCTCTCCTTGGACCAAACCTGAGTGTTCTGCATTCACCCCTACGAGTTTAGCGTTTCCTCTTAAATATACAGTGCTAGTCACGGCAATATACCGCCCCTCCCCCACACATGTACCAAAACACAAACACATACCATGAAAGAGTATAATATATATATTTGCACATTTACTGAGGTTTTAATACCTACTTCTTCAAGAGGGAGCTGGACAGATACCTAAAGACGGTGCCGGATCACCCAGGCTGTGGTTCGTATGTTGGATTGCGTGTGGCCAGCAGTAACAGCTTGTTGATCAGGCCCTGAGCCATCGGGAGGCCTGGTCGTGGACCGGGCCGCAGGGGCGTTGATCCCCGGAATGCCCTCCAGGTAGCCTCCAGGTAGACTTGGTGCTGCGTCCTTTACGCTTAAATCATGTCCCTCAGCCGTGTAGGAAGACTCGCACACAAATTCTTGAGGGTTTGGGGAGGTATATTATTCCATGCCTCATGTAGAGCAGCCTCCAGCAGCAGGATGGAACTGAAGACTTCCAGGGAGAAGGTAAGGTATGTACCACAGTTACTTATTTTCCGAAATATTTCGTCTACACAGCAGATTTCTTCAGTCAAATATAGAGGCTTCAGAAATGAAGTTACTTCACTGTTATATACATGTCTTACTCATCTACTTGTCGGTAGTCGGTATTGTATACCATTATTATAATGATGCTTCAAGGAGAGGAAGACAACTGATCATATGTGAATTCTTAAACGATCACTAGCAGCCTGACTGGTCAGCCTCCTGACTGATCGAGCCTCCACGACTCAGCACAGCACAATAACTGCACTCCTGCTAATAGTAAGTCGAGGCCTGGAATAAGCAGAGCAATGAGAGTAAACATTCTCTCTACCTCTTTCTGATAATACACAACAGCATGAAAGTATATGTTTATCATGGTAAAACCACTATCCACAAACACTAGCCAGGACCTGGTATCACTGTGTCAAGTTTCAACGTTTCTTCCAGCTGAAGAAGTCATGTGACGTAGCGTAATTATATCGAGTCCAAATCCTTATTAATATTGGTTTTACTCTCACTGTTGTCTCCATTACCGGAGTCGAGTTCACTGACACTGTTGACAAGGCAAGAATATACACGGTGAATGGGACATATTTTACTAGGCCAAGATCTGAGTTTCTACATATGAGGCTTTAAGTAACTTGTAAGGTTGTTCTAAAACTTAACTATCACAATAATGAGAATAGTTTGAAGAGACACAAGCAAATACCCAGGTAAGTCATACAAAAATATGTTAGTAGTTAAGACCAGAGTAATATCAGCCTTGAAGAAATATAACCTGACGAGTTACGAGTGTTTATATGTGCAGAGAATGTGAGTGTAACTGCACAGAAACAATGAAAACTTCGGCTCCTGGGAACTTGTCGCCGAGTATCAAATTATGTGAAATAATAAAAAAGATCACCGATAGATTTCAAGCTATGCTCCGACAGCCGAGGTTAATAGATGGTGGCACTCATCCTATGAGTGAATAGAATACAAAGGTGAGAAAACTCAAAATTCCTTAACCTGCAGAAATGCGAAGTATATATTAAAACAATTTAGAGGAGGAAGTAATTGAAGAGAATGAAAACAAAAAATACCATTATTTAAATATTAATTTTGGAATAAAAGCGAATTACCATGAACACTGTAGGAGGCTTCAGTCTGAGTAAAATATTCTATATTAATTAAACTGGAAATGTTGAGGCAGAAGAGCTCTTAATAAGAGTCGAGGACTGACTCAAAGTAATTTGCTACACAGCCAAGCCAGGAAAATATTAGGTTTAGTTTTAGCTAACAAGTAGACTCGATTAAATCATAATGAAGTAGTGAGCGAGTTAGATAAAAAGGCTATCGTAAGGAAAATATAGATATTGCCAGAAGATAACGAACAGCATAAATATTAACCATTGTATATGTGGGTTACAGTACCGAGGAGATGAAGAATTAAGACATCTATGCAACATCTGAATATCTTTAGTGTAGACATTTCGCCATCCAGTGGCTTTATCAATACAAGTTCAAGGGCATACAATGGAACCCTGAATATTGGCCGTATTCCGTTCTAGAAGGTCGGCCTGAATTCGAAGCAATATTTCCCATAGGAATTAACGTAAATACAATTAATGCGTTCCAGACACCCAAAAATATTAACAGAAAATAATGTTTTTAAAGATTAATTGTAGTTTTACATACACAAAACAACGAGAACTAAATAAAAAAAATAAATGAACATTTAAATCACTATTACATACCTTTATTGAAAACTCTTGTTGACTTATGGAAGACAGGGAGGACTGATTATTGTTTGGAAGGGGAATCCCCCTCCATAAGGACTTCAGGTATCAAAACCCTCTTTGGGGTTACTTCCCTCCCTGCCTGCCTGCTACACTCCCTGCCTCTCTGCTACACTCCCTGCTACACACCCTGCCTCCCTGCTACACTTCCTGCCTCTCTTCCACAGCATGTGTGTCAAGAACCTAGGATAACCCAAAAATGTCAAACAGAGTGACTTATTTCCATTGGGATCCTGCCTCCCCGCTACACTCCCTGCCAAACTTCCTTTCGCAACATTAGCTTTTTTTATTTCCCTGCTACACTCCCTGCCTCCCTGCTACACTCCTTTTCGCAACATTAGCTTCCTGATTTCTACTTTCTTTGTCAGGATGGAAGTGATTGTTGATTTGGATTTCCCATACATCCTGGCAAGTTCTAGCACTCGAACACTACTCTCATATTTTTCAATAACTTCTTTCTTAAATACCATCGTGTTTTTCATTCTCTTTACCAAAGGAACTTTACTAGGAACTTTCTTTGGGCCCATGGTGGCTTATTTCACAGTAGCACTTAATAAACAAGCACAAAAAAACAATGGATTTTAAGGAAATGTTTGAATGAATGCGCGGAATATATGCTCATTCACCGAAAGACACGGAGAGACTGACTCACTGGCTGACGCGTATATACGGCTGATTTGCAAGGCACCGGTCGAAATACAGAGCAAAATTTTGGCTCAGAAACCAGCCTAATACGATAAACACAGTGGCCTATATTCAGGGTTCAACTGTAATTAGAAGACAGTAGAGCTATATACAAACGATGACTACGGTATTCTTCACCAACTCCAAGGCTGAGGGACTGATTACCTCATATTTTGCATATAGTTCTACTTTCTTCCAATTTGTATTGATAAAGCCAATGGATGGCGAAACGTCTACAATAAAGATAACCAGATGTTTCACATATATCTAATTCTTCCTTTCAAGCATTATATGGAAGTAATGTATTACATAAAC